GAGTCTGGTCCAACTGCAGAAGCTTGCTTGACAATGATTTGTTCAGCGGCTAGAAGGAGTTAGAATAGTACATTATATGTGTACATTTAAAGCATGCAATTAGATTATCGTTTATATTTGTCTCCATGGCAATGGTTAAACCCCAACTTATAGATAAAAAGAGATATCACTTAAAATATGCACTAAACAACACGTCCTACGCAGCCCAAAATTTGTCATTTTCAACTTTCCATTGGAAGATAGATAATATCAAAATGGACATTTATGCCACGCATGCAGACTCTCTCAGAAAAGTTTCAAGGGTAATTGCCCTCACGCAAACCGGCTCCACGAAAGTAATAACCCGCCCTTACAAAGGTGGTGAGAACACGGTTTTGGGACGGTGCAAGATAAAATTCTCTAGTAAAAGTTATCTTTTGATTTGACGGCTATCTATTACTAACACAGGCTGCAACACCATCTGTGGATTGCTCCATTTCATAAGTAACCAATTTCTGCCTATAAATCCTTACACAAGTGTGAATGCTATATGCTGCTACATGCTCACAGTCCTATTCATCTAATGCCTTTGTGTCTTTGGTGGATGATAAGTAACGGTAACAAAGCAATAGCGCGTACTTCCTGGCCATGTCCCTATGGGGGATGACCTTGCTGAGGATGTCTTTCCGCCGCCCTGGCCCCAGCTGATCTGCTGTGTAGATGCAATCACGGCGCACTCATATAAGGTGTTCGGGACAAGACGGGTAACCTCAGTGGAGAGGGTTTGGGCATTCACGCGCCGGCTACCTGAGGGCCAGTCGCTACCAGGTCTGTAACACTGCGCGTCGTATTCCTCTAGAATGCCGTTGGTAGTCTCCGGTGCCTTCCAGGAGAGCACAATGGATTCGGGTCCGGAAACGGTGACGGATGTGAGTGTTGGTGGAGATGGAGCTGCCATTTTAAAAAAATAAGGAAAGAACTTTGGATATATACCACGAGTTGAGAGACTCAAATGAATATTTCTCATATGTTTTCGTCGTAAGTCGCTCCACTTCCACTCCAACGCAGTAGGATCAGGACCTTTTCAAGGAACCTTGAGTCAAAGGCCTGACCAGTGAACCAGAATCTATCGGTTCTCTTCGCACATGTAGAAAGCCGCATTCAAGCAGCCTTCTCTCGTCTATCCAGGAAAGTATTGTGGTTATGCATTCGACTTAGGGAAAGATTTAAATGCATTGTTATAATTTATATCTACTTTTACGTCTCCGGAACATGAGCATTTTTTAGAAAAACTTATTTTTCTCAACAAATAGTAAGTGATTTTTTACATATCCTTTAAGTACCAAATTTGTCAATTACTTCTACGTTTTCGTACATGCGTTCCTGCCAGTATGCGAGAAGTTATGAATCGTTTACAGCCTTAAGCATTCTGCATACAGCTCCCGCCTTACTGTACAGCAGCCAGATTGTATCATCATTTTTGTCTTTCAAGAAGGTGTCTTGTCATTCCAGTCATGCATGGTTGTCTTCAGAAGCTTGCAATCGCACAGCACTGAAATCATGATACCCGAGTGATTACTGAGATCCAGGCTCAATGAGCATTTGCATTTCCTTAAACCTAATCTACTTAGCAACTCGTGCTTTAAAAAAAAGCTAATAAACGTCTGAGGTAGTAAACACAGTCAAAAACCGACATTCTCGAGGTTCCTTTTAAATGCGCCTTTGTTGATGACATAGTCGTTAACTAAGTAACTGTTTGTGCACCTGTTTACGCCTCTTGCAGTTAAAAATTAGACGTAACGGAAATTTCTTGCAATATGCACAAGGTGGCATGAATTTGATTACAAGTACAACCGTAATCTAACTTGATAGTAAACAGCCAGCCTATATGTGTGTGGTTTCTAATCTATTTTTATTTCGCTCAACAGCCGGGATATGATTACCATAGAGAATATTTTTGCAATTTTCAATATAATTTAATAAAAAGCACGCAAGGATCTTTTTGTGCATTAAAAAGGGGAATTTTTACTCAGTATCCACATTGGGAAAAAAACTTCGTTAAGGTGACTGCACGTATTTCCGAATCACTTAATGCAATTTTGAATGTTAATGAAAACAATCTAACTTATACAAATGTTGTACCTGTATTTATTCCGTATAAATTTGCCATTATTTTCCACTCCCATGCCTTTAACATATTTATATTTAATATCCGATGAGTGACTTGTCATATAGCCATTACCTTCATTTCGAGTTTTTTTTTGCGAAAATTAAATATTGTAATGCTAGTAAAAAGCAATTTCTCCGCCAACCTATGTCTTCTTTTTACTTATGCTTCTAAGTTTACTGCTCTACTAGTTTGGAGGTCACGCCGCGTGTGCTGACTTCGCGCAAAATTACATTTTTAGTGAATCCAACACATTTCATGAGATAGGGAATCTACTGTAGTTTTCATCATTCTCATTGTTCTTGAAAAAAAAGTTTTTTATTTCTAGTCCGAAGTATGCATGGTTGCCCTCAAAAGCACAATATTAAGCCTGCTATCAAAGATAACTGAAAAGCTGACATTACTGCGATTTCTATCCCACTAATCTCAAAACTCAGAAGGCGTTTACACTGCCTTAATACAAAATGGGTAAGTAACTAACACACTGTTTAAAAAAAGCTAATAAATATTTGAGTTAGTGTATACGATATAGAACCGATATTCTCTAGGCTTCTTATACAAATGCGTTTGTTGTTGACACAGCAATCGAATAAGCGACTACGTGTTCACATGTGAACGCTTCTTGGAGTTATAAATTAGACGTAAGGCCTTACCTGCAGACCATGTAAGCACGAAGCCCAAATCCTTGGTTAACTTTGAGTTACTGCCATCTGAGTATGTAGGGGTTATCGAAGTGCTGTAGTTCGTGTAGGGCTTCAAGTTCGACAGGCTACCCATCCGTGCGTTCGACTGCATATTCACGGTAGCTTCACCACTGCTGTTGATGCCCCGCAGTAGAAATCCCTGCAGACCGTCAATAGGGAAGATTGGCTCGCCCCATTCAAAATCGATGGTGGTGGCCAAAATGGACTTGATTTTGGCCGATGCGATGCTGCGGGGCTCTGCAGTAGATGGTGTAAGACAGTTTAAATATTCTTTTTGTATTCAACAAAAGTAATTCATACTTTAAGCAAACAACTCATTTGACATCCAGTCTGATTCAGTTTACGTATATATAGATATGGTTTTCGCCACAAAACTTGTAGGCAGCCTATTTAGGAAATAAAAGGAAACTAGAATAAACCTTTAGCTACCTAGTATTGATAATGC